GTGAGCGAACAAGTAACAAATAAACATAAACCTACGACGAGATATATATTTTATATATTTTATATATAAAATATATATTTTATATATTTTATAAGATCTTGCTGCGAAATGAAATCGAGTGTGATGGGGGAGAGATGGGCGTATCGGTAATAAACTAAACTAAACGATGACGCAGCGACGAGAGTCACAAGTGACTCCTGCGCCGATCGATTGCTGCTAAAGATAGGAGATTCTGACTCTTCCGCAAAAGATCGATTCTTGAATCAATTCGAACCATAATTATATTTTGTTTGGACAAAAAGTAGGACTTAATTTTGTGTAATTAAGAAAAAGAGTACATTTAGGTGTACTTCATCCAATTTTAAAGTACAATAGGACAGCATTTGAGAAGAAAGTACTGTCCTACTAAAAAAAGTACATATGGTCACCCTATCTATAACCAAAGTTTTTGTGATAACCAATATAACCAATAACAAAAACTGGTTATGTATTTCCCAGAATTTGTATAATAATCTTATTTCAAAACGATTTGAAAACGTCAAACAATAGTTAATAAAAATTGGATTTCATTACAGACAATAATTGTGGCCTAATCTCATATAAACAATATATTTTTTGTATATATCTTGTCCAGATAGGAAGTTGTCTTGTTTTGGATGAAGTCTTGTTCTGGAAGTTTTGATATAGCTGATCTAATTAAAACTTCCAGCTCCTTTTCAATTTTTTGCTGTTGCCTTTAACTCTATTTTTAATTCGCCTATGTTAAGCTAAGATATCTAACATTTCTTCATCCCCTGTAAACGTCTATAAATAACTGAGTTAGTTATGATAATAATTGTGTCATATGTACTTTTAACAATAGTATTCTGATTCTGTGGTCTCTCCTGATATTGTTTTGTTTATTATTTTTGTTTCCCAATTATAATATAAAAGTCTTTAACTGCTTTTCTATTATTTTTGTAAAAGTCTCCTTGACATTTTGATCTTTTTATTTCCTAATTTATTCACTAGCTTTATTTTAGATTTTTAGAGAGTGGTATAGAATTACTTCTTCCTTGAGATTTAATTGCGACTGCACCAGAAATACTTGAAAGGCATAATTAGCAATAATGACAATTAAATCCGTAATATAATGTAGAAAATAACTTCGCCTTAGAAATTGGCTAATGCTCGTTTGTATATTTGAATTAACTATTATTTCTATATTGTTTTATGTACCTGTATAAAAAAATTGTGTATATATCGTTGAAGATTGAACAAATTTCATATTAACAAAAAGACTTGTGTTAGTTTAGCTACCTTATAGAAACATATTAAACTGAAACAGTTACTAATTTGGAATTGCATTTCGTCTCCGAGAAAAATCAATTCATTCGCTAATCGTCTTAAGGGGTCTTCGCCATCCAAGAAACCTATTTGGGGTATATTTTAAATTTTTCTCGTGTGGCTCACATTAAACGGTACTGAAATACGTGTTGAATGAACATGTACTAGGTTTCTGTTCAACTACTTCACAACATCAGTGTTTTAGTGTATACTTATAGTGTTCAGCTACAACATAAACTAATAACATCGATTATTATGTCCTATACTATGGATGGGTATTGATAATGTGCATTGGGATAATACGTTTTGTTCCTACTTATTTATAGGAAGAGGTTATTTTATTATAAAAATATATGCTGAAGTAATTTTTGGTATTTTCTACTAATAATAAATCAGATAATAACGAGAAATAATATAAATGTTGGCAAATAATTTGGTTATAATAGAGGTTATATTAAAGAGCTATTGTTTACCTTTATTAGAAATACTTAATTTGACATTAGTTTGCAGATTTTATTCAGGTCTGGTGTGTAGTGTTAGCATTTGGTGATATTTAGGTTTGAAGCTAAGAAGATCTGAGTCAAAAAATGTGTTCTAGTCTCGGTCTTCCAATAATATTATTTTGTTGGGTTTTAGAAACTTTTAACTGAGTAATCTTCTTTTATTGTGTTATACTTTTTACACCGCTTAGAGGATTTAGTTGTCTAATAAATATAGACTTTTCGAAGTCGGAACGTGAAGCATAATTTTCTTCCTGATTTACTCCTATACTATCTGTCTAGTCAAGTATCCTGTATTTAAGAAGAGAGGTATACACAGTATGTACAGACCCTTAGATGGCCTCCTACAAGTCAGCATAAAAGAGGTAATGTCGTTTGCTTTCATGGTATACTATATATGTAAATCATATAAAATTTAATGATAGTAAATCTTGATTTTTGCAAATTATTTACATTTTAATTCTCCATTTGACACAATATGCACTTATGTCCTAAAGAAGCTATATACCAAGTTTGAAGACCCTATATTTTTTACTCTTTATCGGGAGTTATTACTATCTTCTTCTACTTCTTGTAGTGCCTATCTGTTTCGGATATTGTCAACCATCATGGCAATATGTATTTTGCAAACTGCTGTTCTAAAAAGATTTGTGATTGTTGAACCACGTAAGTAGATTTTTCAGCCAGGAAATCCTTCGCCTTCCTGTTCCTTGTTTTCCTTCTACTTTTTTCTGTAAAATTAATTACATCAACCCATACCGCTCACTGTTTCTCATAATGTGACAGAGGTATTCAATTTGGACTGTTTATATTGTGGTTAACAAATCTTTTCCTTTTTGGGTTCTTAATAAAACATCCAATAATTTTCATTGACGTTCATACCAAAGTGTATATTTTACTCTTTCTATTGGTTGACCATTCACACTGATTCGTTCAATTTGCTGTCCCTTCTTAGAGATCATCATACATTTTGTTTTCTTAATGTTTAGTAAAAGTCCATATATCTGACTCACTTCTGTGATTTTATTCATTAACTCCTGGAGGACTTCATAACTGTCATCGAACACCACTGTGTCATTCGCGTATCTGATGTTATTGAAAGATTTCCTCAGAGTATATGTTCAACGGCAGGTGTGATAGTATACATCCCTGTCAGACCCCACGTTCGATTTTGATATCATCGGATTCTCCTGCCTCTGTTTCAATATTTGTTAATATCTCCATCAGCTTGTCGTGTTTTACTGTATCGAACGCTTTATGGTAATCCATGAAGCATGTATAAATATTAAAATTCACATCTCTTCATCGTTGAAATAGCACTTGTGTGCTAAAGAGAGCCTTTCTTGTACCCTCTGCGTTTCGAACACCAAACTGTGTATGGGTGATTGTTTTTTCGCATAGTTTATATTTTCTTTGATGTATGATTTTTAGAAATAACTTTGGAATGTGGCTCATGAAGCTGATGGTCCAGAAGTTATTGCAGGTTACGGATTTTGCTTTCTTTGGTAGAGTAATAAAAGTTAACTTCAGCCATGATCTTGGTTTAAATATGTGTCATTAAATATTTTGTTGTATGTATTTGGTTCATATATATATTTCATGATTTTTATCTGTAATTATGTCCCCTGTTAATCTTGTAGTAGACATTTAACCTGTTCTTCTTCTGTCTGTTCCTCTCCTACAGAAGATTTTATATCATCACGCTATTCGAAATTTTTTACGGCTAGTATAAAAAGTTAGTTTGTGAGGCAATCAAACAACTCTCTTGAATTTCTTATCCAGGACATTCTTCTGCTACCGAATTCATTTGTCCATTATTTTTCTCTGCATTACAAATGATAGGTATGTGTGTTTATGTCGCCACATTGGATGGCCTGAATATTCCAAGTTTGTAACTTTTGTCTATTTAACGTAATACTTCTTCATTTGTAACTTGGCCAACCAATTTTACAACTCTCTCGAAACTAATAAGTCGATTACTTAAACATTTTATCTGTTCACTTTGCTTTATTATTGTTTGTTTATTAAATTCAAGCTTCATCATAATCTGACTCAGTAAAGTATCTCTCTGCTAAAAAAATGTGACGCAGTATGCTAAAAGATTCTTTTCCATAGTTAATATTTGTTTATTTATATAATATTTTTAACGCTGAATGACGTTTCTCTAGTATTCTTTTATATTTTTGTATTTTTAATTTTATGTAACATTAAGTTATATTTTATTTCAAAAAATGGTTTAAATGTATTAACAAAATAATCTCTTCCAAAGAATATTGACTGTAATATAATAATAATCAAAAATATTTATAAAATTGTTTACTTTATTGGTAAAAGTTAGTGTAAATTAAGATACGACAAAGGATTCATCTAAAAAATTCAGCAGGTAAAATGTTTCGTATTATTTTTGGAACATATAACTACTGTCTAACTGGCTTAAAAATAAATTGTTCGTTTCTTCATATAAAACTGAATATTTGCCTTAATTAAGTATCTTGTTAAAAAATGCAAAGATAAAATATAGATTTTTACACCATCAAAGAGTAACAATTGATTAAAGATTAAACGCTTACACAGAAAGAATTTGCTTATGATAGAAAAATACGTTATGTAAACAACAAAATATTCGCTTCTTAAGAAAAATCACAACAGTAAGTTATTTTATAACATTTATGTATAAATTACTAACATGTTCAGTAAACAAGAGATTAACAAATACATTTGAATTATATTCGAGTATAGAATAAGCCGGATCCTTAAACAGAGGTAAGCTGTTTTATTACTGAACTTAATTTGCAGAACAAGCGTATAAGTCCACTTTCAGGACACCTCCAGAGCAGAATCAGTGGTCGACCTTAATCAATGTTCTATGGCATGATATTTAACTAGCATGTCTTGGATGCGTTATACTTATAGGATCACACATGATTTGAGATCCAGAAACTCAGTCAAACAGGAAGGTTTTACAGAGACCCTAAGGTGACTGATTAAGAATCCTTTAGGAGAGAACTTAAAACAAGGGCACGGAATTATCGGCCAAAGCCAAAAACCAACGTTGAATTAAACTGATAGAAGACTGGTTGCAACATTCAATAGTCGTCTCATATATGGACAAGTGCTCTTTAAAAGGAAGTCGTCCACCAAGACAAGTAGCGTGGTGGAATAAGGAGCTGCCTGACCATAGAAGAGAAACAAGACTAATAAGGTAAAGAGATCAGGTGATTATAAAGCATTCAAGGCTTATGTAAAACCTATAATAAGGTAATCCTTTCCTCTGAAGAAAGATATAATAGGACAGAATATTAAATAATTTTGCAAAACCGTTTAAAATATAGTGCTAGAATGTTTTACAAAATGCAAAATGCTATGTTTTACAAAATGCAAAAAGTTCTATGCAACCGCCAGCTGGGCATCTCATTGAGAACTAGAATACTTGCTATGTTTTCTCCACTTTGCCTGGACAATGACAGAAGCAACACAAAAAAAAATCCAAACATTCGAACTCTGGTGTTACCATAAAATGCTCAGAATATCCTACATGAGCCATACGACAAATGCGAAAGTCTTGCGGAGGATGCATAAGGAAATAGAGCTTATGCTTATAATAAAAGAACGGAAAACACAATATTTTGGTGACATCATAAGAACTCAAAAGTATGAACTGCTCCAACTTATAATCGAAGGCAAAGTCAATAGCAAAAGAGGACCAGGAAAAAGACGCAACTCTTGGCTTAAAAACCTACGGCAATGGACGAACATGACCTCCATAGAACTAGACAGAGTTAAGACCGACTTAGGGATACTAGAGATCAGATGATCTGAATCTGAAGAGTATCTAGTCTGAACAGGAGATCAGACGTTGCCAGAAACCGAACAGAATGGCGACTAATCTTATAGAATGGCCAGGATCCACAGAGATTGTCGAGTCAAAGATGATGATGATGATGATGATGATGATATTTATAGGATATTCTCTATAGTTATTAAAATAGATTAAAAACTTACTGTTTATATTTTGATTTGATGATGTTCTTGTAGAAAAAGAAATAAATTATATTACACTTTAGCGGCTGAAATTTTAACTATCTCCTTTGTCTATATCTTAATGACGTATGTTTGTTGTTTATTTTAAAAATAAACATTTTATAGGTAATTTTTTACATCAATACCAATGCCATATTAGTGTTAAATTATAGAAAACAAAATGGTTGTTCTACTAATATTTTTGGTTATATAACCACAAATGAACAAGACGGTTCTATTTACTCGTTTAAAATATTTGAGAAGCATCTCCTAAAATTTTTTTTGAAAACAATTTTAAAAACTTTGCTAAAAAAGCGCAAAAGCTAACTAAAAATACATTAATAGAGTTTGGAGATGTCTAACGTGTTAATGACTAAACAACCAAGAAAATGATTATAACGTTCATAAAGAAGATTCTGAGCTGTGTTCAGTAAAATATAATTATGTTTTTTATTTATTTTAACAACCAGTTTGCTTTGTTTATTGTAAAGGTCGTCCTACTACAATAAATATATACACAACGGCTAAATACAAACACACAAAACATCCATTTACCCGACAATAACCAACAAATAGTAATAGTGTGGATAGGTAAATACAAATGTCATGGTGAAATAGCATTGATAATGTAGCCAAAGAATAAAAAAGCATCTTACCGGTATACCAGTAGGCTCCACCTGGCCGAACCTGGTGCTGCGCCAGCTCTCCAGGATCAACAGACCGGCGTATAACTTGCCGACGGACATTTTACCGGTGTTGAGTTGGTTGGTCGGTGGAACTAACAGCTCCACCATGTTCTTGGCTTGGATCGGCCAGATGTTTTTGATTGTCTCTTTGAGTTCCTCATCGGCCTGGTCCATTTCATCAGCTAAAAGATTTTTGAAACATATTACAAGGTAGTACTAATATTAATTTATATACTAGAAGATTGACTTTTCTATCATCTGTCATTTATTTTGTCAATGGATGTCTTTGTATGTATAATATCGTCTAAAAGGATACTAAGAAGATACATTAATATAAATGAATCTGAAAAATTAACCCATACGTCTTTTTTCTCAAAAATTATATCCACCAACTTTCATGATTACTTTCTTTCAAATTTAAATTTTTTGTATAATTTTTTGATCTCTACCCTTATTGTAGCCAATTTGAAATTGTATTGTAGCCAATTTGAAATTGTATTGTAGCCAATTTATTAACAGCCAATTTGAAACCAGAAAGAAAATCAAAAACGTACAAAAACTAGATATGGAGAAACTTAGCCAAAACGAAGAAAAGTACAAAGAAGAAATAAAAAAATGCATCCCAAATACAACCAACTTAATAAATAAAGAAACAAACGAAATAAATGAAATACTAACAACTACATTGCTACAGGCCGGGGACAGAATTGCAAAATCGACAACAAAAAAGGACAATTGTATCTCAGAAGAAGTAGAAAACCTGATGAAGACAAGAGGAAGCCTACTTGAACAGGGCAAAAGAAACACAGTAGAATATACTGAAATCAATAAAACAATTAGAAAAAACATAAAAGAAACCAAGAGAAAAACGCAGGAAGCAAAGATTGAAAGAGTAATCCAGCAGAACAAAAATATGAAATGCTTAAAACAACGACTCGGTAAAACTCAGATAAATGAAATGACAAACAACGAAGGAACAACCATTAATGATATGAAACAAATAATAAAGTTTACACAAGAATACTATACGCACCTATACAGAACAAGACATAAACCACAACAAGAAATTCTTAAACAATTAAACACAAAAATAAAAAATATAAGCTCGGACCTACAACCAGAAATAAGTAAAACAGAAATCAAGAAAGCAATTCAAGAATTAAAAAACCATAAGTCACCTGGAAAAGATGGGATAACTGCAGAGATGCTGAAGAGAGGAGGGAAAACAACTAGAGAAGTCCTACATATCCTCATGAACAAAATATTGACCACAAAAGAAATACCCGACAGCTGGAATGATGCGGAGACACTATTAATGTTCAAAAAAGGTGACCGAAAGAACTTAGAAAACTATAGACCTATAACATTACTAAGTGTTGTATTTAAACTACTACTGAAAAGTCGAACGAGTATCAAATCCCATTATACATGGCATTCATAGACTTCCGAAAGGCGTTTGACAGCATAGAACATTGGGCTATCAAAAACTCGGTACACGGACCTAATAACAAACATATACAAAAATGCGAGTACCACAATAAAATTGACGAACGAACACGCTACAAGGGAGATACAATATCGCCAAAATTATTCAATCAGGCTATGGAAGACATATTTAAAAAATTAGAATGAAATACATACGGAATAAGAAAAAATGGAGAGCTCTTGAACCACTTGAGATATGCAGACGATATAGTCCTGATAACAGATAAGAAGGAAGAATTACAGAAGATGGTTGAGGAACTAGATAGAAAAGTGACAGAGGTAGGTCTAGAAATGAACTATAGTAAAATCAAGACTATGACAAACCAAGAAGACCTGTTAGAAATAGTAGTCAAACAGAATAAATTAGAGCAGGTGGCAGAATACATATACCTAGGACAGATAATAAAGCTGAACAGGAACAATCAAACAGAAGAAATAAAAAGAAGAACTAGACCAGCATGGGCCTCATTTGGTAAACTATCATATATTCTAAAAAATAAAAAGTTTCCTCAATATATGCGAACGAAAGTATTCAACCAGTGCATTTTACCAGTTATCACATATGGCTCACAAACATAGACTTTCACAAAGGAGAACATCTACAGGATATTCAAAACACAAAGAGCAATGGAAAGACAGATGCTGGGTATCGGTCTTAAAGACAGGAAAAGAAACTCATGGATAAGAGAAAAACAAAGGTGAACGATGTATCAAAAAAGGTTGCAAAACTTAAATGGAACTTCGCCGGTCACACTCTCCGGCAAAAAGATGAAAGATGGAATAAGCGAATCGTACACTGGAGACCATGGGAAAAGAAAAGAAAAAGAGGAAGACCACAGATGAGATGGACTGACGATCTTAAGAGAACGGCAGGAAAGGACTGGATGCAGATCGCTCAAAATAGAGACCAATGGAGATTAACAGGGGAGGCTTATGCCCAAGAGTGGGCGTTTAAGGCTGATTAGATAGATAGATAGACCCTTATTGTAGAGCTTCTTATTTAGCTCGGTATATGACGGTTTTCTGCTCAGAATTCTTTTTATATGCATGTATTAATGCTTGAAATGTTCACAGTAGGTAGAAAATGTTTTAAAGATTAAAATCTACCCTATGGCAATACGTGCTTTTCTTCTGGGGGTGGTTACCATTCCAACTCGGAGGTGGTTATTTTTGAGTAAAAGTTCATAAGTTACACATCAAAAAGCATGTTTTTATATGGTTTTTCGTTAATAACTCCAAAAATTTAAATTTTATCGCGACAACTCTTTGGAAATACTATAAAGCTTATAAAACAAAGAAATCTGTTGTTTAATAGTACCGTAAACTTAATAATAACAAAGTTATGACTGTTCTAATAGTCATAATTGAATCAACCCAAAGCAGCGATGGTTCGTGGAGAGTTAAAATGAACCACGAGCTGAATGAACTAATGCAGAGCGCAGATATTGTCAGATTTGTAAAGTCACAAAGACTAAACTGACTTGGTCACCTAGAAATAATGACAGATAATCGATCTGTAAAAGTAGTCCAGAGATGGAAGCTCCAAGGAAATAGAAAAAGAAAAAGGCCCCGTAAAAGATGGATAGACGACGTAGAGAGGGATCTTAAAACCATGAACATCAGGCAGTGGCGAAGTAAAATATCCGACAGGGCAAAATGGAAGAACATTGTTAAGCCAAGGGCCAAGACTCACAAAGGGTTATAGCGCCATTAGAAGAAGAAGATGGATGTTCGAAAGTAGTTTTTTTTTTAAGTCATCGAATACACAAAATCCAAACATATGATGAAGAATAAGCAGAAAACGGTAAGTTTTTCATAGAAAACTTAACAAAACATTTTTAAAGATCTTAAAAATCCTTTAAAATGACAACTGGTCAAAGTGATTTGCATGAAAATTAAGGTTATACCAAAAATAAAGTCCGTTTATATTTTTTGTATCGCAGAAAGTAACAAATTCACTCCCGCCAAAACCACCCTGGTTAAAACTAGTCATTGTTCATTTAAAATTTATTTCCTTACAAACATTACATTCTGAAAGTTTAACTTTCAGAATGGTTTAACTTATTCTTAACTTAATTAACTTTAACTGGTTAAGAAAGATCTTAAAAATCCTTTAAAATGACAACTGGTCAAAGTGATTTGAATGAAAATTAAGGTTATACCAAAAATAAAGTCCGTTTATATTTTTTGTGTCGCAGAAAGTAACAAATTCACTCCCGAAAAAACCACCCTGGTTAAAACTAGTCATTGTTCATTTAAAATTTATTTCCTTACAAACATTACATTCTGAAAGTTTAACTTTCAGAATGGTTTAACTTATTCTGAACTTAATTAACTTTAACCGGTTAAGAAAGTTTTTTTTTATTAATATCCAAGATTTTTTACAATTTGTTTCACAATAAGTAAAATTGTTTGTCTTAGCAATGTCAGAGAGATATATGGTCCAGTGACCAAAGCATCAGAACACAAATATTGGCTTATTTACCGGTGTGATGCGTATTCAAACAGATACACGAACACGAATACTGAAAGCGGCATAGATCGCAATGTCTGGGCGCTGTTGAAGGCGTAGCTTCCACTATTGTAGGCACAGTCAGGAACGGTTTGGTTTGTTCAAGGGATTATATCGCTTCAATCTCTTCACTTGTTGGTTGTGGAGAAGATTGCATGTCAGTATGTTAGGATGTTTTTTGATATTTTTTGCAGAAATTCTTTTGTACTCTTCAGAGACTGTTAGTATCAGTAGATCACTTTGTAAGGCGTTATTCCAGATATACCAAGGGACATTAGCGAATTTTCTTAGAATGTTAGAAATCTTTGTATTGTCATAACATTAGATTTGCTAGCTAATCCCCAGGGCTGCAAACCATATGACCGAACGGGTTTAATTAGTACTTTGCATATCACCAGCTTGTTGTTTATCGATAGGTATGGATTTTTTTCCCAGCATCCAGTAAAGTTTTCTGTATAAAATTTCTGGTTGTAGTTTTTTCGCCAATTTATGTTTGATCCATGGTAATCGTTTATCCAGATGAATGCCTAGATATTTTACGTCATCTTTTTGGAGTAAAGGATGTCCATCGAGGTTAACTTCTGGACAGATAGCTCTTCTTAAAGTAAATGTAATATGTGTAGATTTTGAGGAATTTACTTTAATTCTCCAGAGTTTAAAGCATTCATTAGTTTTGTTTAGATGTAGTTGCAGTATCTCTGACGGTATTGCTGGATTGCTATGAGATGGTAGTGAACCAGTATTATCTGTAAATGTGGAAAGCATTAGGTTATTCATCATCATTATCAACCTGTGTGCGTCCACTGTTGGACATAGGTCTTCCTCAGCAGTTTCCATCTATCTTTGTCTTGTGCAACTTGCATCCAGTTATTGCTAATACGTTTCAGGTCATCAGTCGATCTAGTTAAAGGACGTTAGGTTATTGCACACTACCCTGATGTATACGAGATTTGATGGGGTAGAGTTTTGTATAGGCTTCACTATACCTTATTAGATATAATGCTTTCTGTGAGGTATGATTTAAGCAGTTTAAAGTAAGTGTAGGGTAGGTTTTTCTTTAACTTGTACAGAAATCCTGTATGCCACACTTTTTTAAAAGCTTAAGAGGCATCTAGAAAGATTGCAGTACAGTATTGCTTGTTTTTGAGACTACTTCTTATTGTTGTATATAATCTGTGAACGTGTTTTAGTGTAGCATGTTGATTAGGAAATCTGAATTGATGGTCAGGTATAACCCCCTTTTTGTCCAATATTGATTTGACTTACCTCAACAAAAGTTTTTCAAAGATTTTAGAAATACTGGGAGTAGACTAATCAGTCGGTATGAGTTGACATCTTTTGAATCTTTACCGGGTTTTTAAATGAGTTTAACCTGTGCCACTTTCTATTGCAAAGGGAAGTATTGCACACTTAACATAACGTTAAAGATCATAGTGATTATTTTGTAGTAATCATGGTAGTTCTTGAAGGATGTTACCTGTAATAAGGTCGCATTCCGGTGCCTTGTTGGGTTTTAATCTCATTCTTTTATCTGTTTTATATCCTTAATGTTAAATTGGGAGATTGATACTTTCATTTAATATGGAGCGTCAAGAATAGAATAAAGTGGTTCTTTTTGTTCTATACTGCTCTGGTAAATGGACTAAATACTTTCGAAAGATGTTCTGTGAATGTCTCGGAGTGCTCTGTATATGTTCTTCTCTATTTACCTTTGGTATTTTTTAAAGAAGGTTGGGCGTCTTGTGGTCGTTTTAATTTTCTCGTCGCTTTTCATAAAAAAATAGTTTGTACCTATCTTTGAACGGCGTCAGATTTTCTTAGATAAGTTTGGATCCGCTTATTTTTTTTCTTTTCACAGATTTTCAAGTCTTCTTGCAATTCTCTTTAGGTTTGCTTTTCTCTTCGATTAAGTTTTTTTGCGCTCAGAGAACATAATTTTAAATAATTTTAAATAATTTTCTTATTTTCAAAATAACTCAACAACTAAAAATGATACAGAAATAATACTACAATTCAAAAAATAGTTTTTTTGTGTTCGATTGTTTTTATTTCTATAAACTAAAAATTCAACGCGATGATCGTATTAAAGCTTGTATTCGCATGCATTTAGCACCGAATCCTTAAGCCGTGTTAGTTCATCCGCTTTTACAACGAAGGGCTTGAAAAACATTTAATATACAACACCGTTTAGCTTTTAAAATAAACTTTTTTAATATCTTTAAAACGTTTATATATATTTTTCATAAAACTGGTTTTTCGCGTATTGAACATCATATGTTTCAGTTTTTGTAAGTATTCGATGAATGAAAGTCTACCTACTTCTGAACAGTCATAACATTGTTAATATTGAGTTAACAATAGTAATAAAAAACAAATCTTTTTTGTTGAGTAAGCGGCATTTTATAATTCAAACATTTTTTTATATAGTGAGGGACAAGATCTATGCGAAATTTTAAAGACCAACCTGCTGATAATCCGCTATTGATACTATTGTAACACAGGCTCCCAGAGAGACTATTAAAAAATACTTGAGTTCATCTTTTTTCTAAACTTAGGACTGGCAAAATAAAATTTTTTGTTTTGTGGGTTCGTCAATGAACACTAATTATTGATATACAGAAAAAGAAGTAAAGCCCATTCCAAATTATTGTCATTGCATATTTTTGTGAAATGTTATCAAAATATGATGTCTTTGTTTATATCAGTTAAAAATAATTAAGAGGAATTCCTGCGGTTGACATAAATACAAATTTACAAACAATTTTATATTTCCGGTAATGGCTAACTACTTAGTAAGTACATTTTCGTAGAATAATTAAATGGGGTGGGATCATTGTCACAATATTTAAATACCGGAATTAGTCATTATTAAGCAGTATATTTTGTGGTTCTTTCAGAGTTTCTCCAAAAAAAGCTTTGTGATATATTTAGTGTTTATCAAAGAAAAATATGTGGCGACCATGGGAAAGTGATGTGCGTTTACCTGACGAAAATGAACCTACGGATAATTTAGATGAAGATGAAAGTGCAAAGTCAAGTACTCAGCAAAGGAAGAATTTGTGTGTAGCTGGGCAAAATATGGTGTTAGATGTATTTGATGGATTTTGTAAAAAAATTACCAAATATGAAGCTGTTAAGAAAACGGCGGTTTTAACAAAAATTTCGAGCGCAACAGTGTACCGTTTAATAAAGACAGGATCGAAAAGTAGAACAACAAGAAAGGATTTGGGAAGCTCTAAAAAAAGTCAACCTCACCTCTTAGAACCTATTAGTGAAACAATATATAATATGTATGCAGCTAAAGTTATACCTAACCTAAACAATAACATAGCAAAATTTTAAGAGAAATATATTGTTGATGAATGTTCCACAAAGACTTTGGGAAGATTTTTGACCAAAAATAGTCAAAATAAAACTGCCAATAATAGACAAACCATAATGGAATGTAGCGGCTTAAATGGAGGAATGAATTTATCGAAAAATTTCACAATACCACAGTGAGTGTCGAAAAATTTATTATCTGGACGAGACTTTGATTCTCACGAAATTATAGATAAAGCCCGGACAAACGGTACAATAAAATGCCAAAAAGAAGTAACCCATTCTAGAGGCAAGCGAATTTGCATATTACATTGCGTAGGGCAACATGGATGAGTAAACAATGCATCATATCACTACAAATGCATTAAAAAATTTTAAACAAACAGAGTAGGAAGAATACAATTCAAGAATTTTTAATAGAAGACCTATATTTTAAGGATCATTACACTAAAGATCAACTAATCCAGGTTCTTCACACCAAAGTCGTAACTAAAGAACATATTGTAGATAAATTAGCCACTAAAAATGGACATATGGTTTTAAGATTACCTCCATATTACTGTGTGTTGAATCCCATACAATTGCTATGGGCTCAGTTAAAAAACCATGTCCGGAGGAACAATACATCTCCAAATGATGCCTAAAGAGAACGATAATGACAATAAGTTGAAATATGTAACTCTAACTGGAAGATCCCAAATTAATATAAATTTCCGAAGTGGTTAGTATACCATTTAATTTATAATAGTAAAAAAAAACAATGGTTAACTTTTTGTGGCATCGCATGTGACATGTAAGTAAATAAAAACTATTTTTAAAGTTGTACTTCTTAAGGCGCGATTGGGAAAAATGGATGAAAGTGAATTTTTATAAAATTCCCAGTATGGAGTACCTACGCGCATATTCACAGCATGAATTTAGTTGCTACATCTAAATCTTTTAAGTTAGGTATTAATCCAAATAAAGTGTGAAAAAAATATATTGGTGTTTTTGTTAATTTGATTATATTATGACGGTGATAGATATTTACTGATGATTTGTATATTGTATATGTATATTTTTGTGTGTAAAAATCGACCTGGTTCAATAGTTTTCATCTAGTTTATAATTACGTAGAAAATACATTTATCCATTACTGTAGTACCTCACTGTATAATATATTAATATTAAGTGTTCATTGACGAACTTAGCACGGTTAATAAAAAACTTGTACATCCACCAAAAGTAAATTTTTATTTTCGTAACTGAAGAAATATTTTATTTTGCCAGTGTTAATTTTAAAAAAAGGTGAAGGTAAATTTTTCTAAATACTATATTATAAGGTAGTTTACTTCAAAAATAATCAGTATTTCGATCAATTGGTAAAAACATTTAGTACACAAATTATCAATTCCAAATTCAACACTTTCTCCGATAATTTTATTTGAATCTTGGATACATATTAGTACAACTCTGTAACTGTCTCTCTGGGGGTCTGTGTTACAATAGGTATCAATATCGGATTACCACTAGGTCGGTTTTTAAAATATCGCATAGATATTGTCCCTCACTATACATGCATTTATGTTCAAACATGCTTTTTTTTTGTCGTGTAATTTGTGAAAGTTCAGTCACGCATAACTGAAAAATAATTACTTTTCAAAAAAACAAATAAACATTTTTGTTTTAAAATCCACTATTCTAGCGACTACCATAGCTTCTTTCTGACACTTTTTCCACCTCCCGAGTTGGACTGGTAATCGTCCCCAGAGGAAAAACACATATTTCCATAGGGTAGATTTTGATTTTTTTAGCTATTTTCTACTATTTTTACCGTCATATCATAACTATTTTAGTCAACCATTTCTTGTATACTTTAAGAATGTGAAGGTTTGGGAGAATGTTGCAGCACCTAATATTTTACTTTATACTAAAATTATTATCTGTTCTGTAGTTGTAAACACGAGGGAAATTAAAAATGTTGAAGATGTATCGTGTAAATATGCCATAGAGAGTTGAATGATTTTTTAACTAATATCCTATTTTACGTTATCAGTATTTTAATAGAAAGAAAATAAACAGTATATTCTATTAAATTTTATATTTACAGTGAAATGTACCTGTTCGCATTTTAATGCTGAGATTTTCTCTGACGAGGGCAAAGAATGTCGTAGTAAAATTAACTTTCCCATCGTCATCTACTGGCATGTTCATCCTAATTAATTTCTTATACGCTAATCGATTAGGACACTTGTTTCCAAATCCTAATGGCGGATCCATATTTTTTAACATGTCGTACATTTCGCTGTAGTGGATTTTTCCTCTGTAAAAATTTAAAACAAATTATAAATATAAATATTAAAATATTGAGTGGTTTAATAGTGCGGTGGTTGAATAGTAGTTCCCAGGTGACGAAAGGGGAATATCTGTTAGATATGACTGATACTTAATACACAACATACAGTATGATAACTTTCCATCTAAAAAACAAGCAGGCAATAACAGAACTACAGACGCTGCGTACAAACACACTCCCACCGGTGAGTTCCACTTCCATCGATACGCTCTCAAGTAGATGGAGAGCCGACAACGATATGAAACAAGAGCCGCCGCAAGATAGAATCAAGATGAGGACGTCGACTTCGTAGAAGAAGTCAAAAGACAAAGAAAAAGTCCCAAAAATCCAAATGTAATCATCCCTCCTACATTACCGGAGGAGGTAAACGAGCTAATTAAAACCAACTCGCCAGAAAAGACACCTAGTCCAGATTAAAAATCAAACAGGGCTCTAAAATACTTGCCAGAGAGATCCATAGTATATTTAACAAATATAATTATTGCGATGCTAAGATTCAAGAAATTACCAAATAGATGGAAAGAGGCCCATGTCATAATGTTACCAAAGCGCGGAAAAGACAGCCTATTCCCGCAAAACTACAAGCCAATAAGCTTGCTACATGCAATCAGCAAGATTGTAGAGAGAGTAATACTCAGCAGACTTCAAGCTAAAACAGACAGATTAGACATAATACCCGAAACCCAATTCCGTTTCAAATCAGAACACTCCAGTGAGCTACAAGTACTCAGATTAACAGATTACATAGCAACTGGATTTAATGATAAACAATACTTATGAGCTGCTTTCCTAGATATAAGCAAAGCTTTCAACAGAGTCTGGCATAAAGGACTGATCTAAAAATGAGAGGATACGGTTACAGCGGGATAATGACTAATCTCTTCGTACTTGAGCAATCGTAGTTTCCGAGTTCGGATAGGACAAGTCCTATCTGAAATCGGGAACCCGGAGGCTGGAGTGCCACAGGGAGCGGTACTGCCACCTCTACTGTACACAATATATACAGCAGACATACCTAGAACACCATGTACATTACTAAGCCTCTATGCTAGTAATCATATGACATAGAAGAATGGAGCTTAAAATGGAAAATCGCTATTACCTCAGAAAAGACACAGATAGTACTTAAAAAAAAACATCTAAAACCAGAAGAACACTGTGGTTGTGCAAAACAATCCCATCGAGTAAAAAAGCGAAGCGAAATACTTCGGAGGAATCATGGACAAAGGCTTAACGTTTAGTGAACACGTAGATCCTGCAATACAAAAAGCCAACATGGCAAGATAATCAATAAGATGCATGCAAGATGCAGCAAGATTTCTCTTCAGAGAGTTACTACAAATTAGAGTGACTGATATAATGAACTAAAAGGCAAGGACAAAGTTCGCGGAGATAAAAAACCATCCAAGTCACATCCTGCGAGAGATTATGAGGTACGACGCTTTCCACAAATGAAAGCACAAAAGACCAAAACAAAAAATAGCAGAATAAAATCAAACGTACTAGAGAGAAAATCAATAAACAAACTAGAGAGAAAACAAAACACAGAAGATAGTTCGTAGCTCAAACAACTCTATATTGTTGTATTGTCACATATGTATTTGCATATATTTTTCAATATTTTCATATAGACATTGTACTAATTATGACTTTTTTGTTTCAGGCAACCTACAAAAAAAAAACAAACAAAATATACAAAAAAACGACCTCTGCCACCAAAAAATTTAAAAAAATAAAAAACACCAGCGCAAGCCAATAAAAACAAGTAAACAAAAAACCCCAAAAACCCTGGCACATAGGGCCCAACCAATTGAGCACGAAGTCGCCGAACTGAGACTAGCTCAGAGCGGAGACTTAAGGTCCAAGCAATTTTTAGTTCGCGGATAAGCCACATTAAGATAACAGGATCAAAGCGACAATGCGTTGTCCTGAGTTTAATTTTCGGTAAGGAAACCATGTTGTTGTTGAACCATGACTCCCACATGAAGAGGATTTGGCTGATAGTTGTGGACCTATCGCGCATTAGAGTACTATAGGGGAAAAGGGATGGTCTGGAGCATTGGAGCGCGGTGGACTGACTAACTATCACAGTTGTCCGGCACACGTGGCTTTTTAAACTGATTGTAATTGTCTTTTTCTTATCCGTTAGAGTAAAATACATTGTCAAGTTTGGTCTTTTACACCATGCAATTTTTATATTTTTTAATAATTGACTCAATCGATGAGTGGTGCGTGAATTTGTCACCTGTGAGTAGAACATTCACGAAATACAAATCTCAATAACTTTTTCCTAATGATGAAAATAAACATTTTCGAAAGCTTAAAACTTAGTTAAAAGAGTACATTTATCACACAGCTGAAAATCCCAATTAACCTCAAAGCTACGTTTTCTAACGTTGTCAGCAAAGACTTCTTTTCTATATATTTATATATATTTCTCATCTTCTTCTTATGGTGCCGTATCCAATTAGTGGATGTTGGCAACAATTCTGGCATACTCCTTTCGATCTTGTGTGGCTCTACAGAGTGCATGGGCATCGAGGTTTGTCCAATCCCTTATGTTTTTAAGCCATAATTATTTCTTTTTTCCGATACTCCATTTTCCTTCTATATTCCCTTCCATAATAAGCTTCAGTACTAGTACTTGGAATTTTGTAATATATGATCCAGATTAGCAGTTTTTCTTCTTTTTATTATTGACAGCAACTGTCATTCTCTGCCCGTTCGATTTAATACTCCGACATTTGTTGTGTGATCTGTCCAGGGAATTTTAAGTAGTCTTCTAAATACCCACGTTTCAAAGGCCTCCAATCGGTTTGTCACATTGGCCTTTAATGTCCAGAGTTCTTCACCATATAGCAGTATGGAGTAAATGTAACATTTTACAAAGCCATATCGAAGCGTTAAGTTAAGGCTGCTGTTACTTAGCAAGGTTATCATATTAGTAAATGCTGTTCTGGCTTGCTCAATCCTGCTTCTTCTTCTTGTGTGCCTTCCCTATCGTAAATTGAATATTATTATGGCGATTCTAATTTTATTAACTGCTGTTTTGAATAATTCGTTAGTGGTACAGCCATACCACTCTCTTAAATTTCTCATCTAGGACATTCTTCTACGGCCTGGATTTATACGTCCTTGGATCTTTTCTTGCATTATATTTTGTAGGAACGTGTACTTTTGTCCTCTCATCAGGTGGCCTAATTTGAGTTTTATCTTTTTTATATTCATAACAACTTCTGGATCGTTATTTATTCTGCGTATTACCTTTTCATTTGTAATTTTATCCACCCAACTTATTTTTAGTATACGGCGGTAGCACCACATCTCAAAGATTTCAAGATTTTTAACATTCCTCTGTTTAAGAGTCCATGCCTCAACACCGTAAAGCAAAGTACTGAATACATAGCATTTTTTTCCTGCTACATATCTCTATGTCTGGGTCTTGATCTTCAGTTATCCAACTACCGAGATATCTGAACTTGGAGACCTTTTGTATGTTCTTATTGTTTACTCTTATATTTAATTGCATATTTCGTGTTATATTAACCACCTATAACTTCGTCTTGTCTGTATTAATCTTTAAGCTTAGTCGTTCTGCTTTAGTGTTTATTCTATTTATTAGTCGTTGTAGCGCTTCTTGGCTATCAGCTATTATGACTATATCATCAGCAAAGCGAATATTACTAATAGTCTGTCCATTGATTTTTATTCCTTCTTCAGTGTTATTTAAGGCTCTATCGAAAATCGTTTCAGATTAAATATTAAAAAGGAGGGGTGACAGAACACAACCCTGTCGTACACCTTTTTCGATAGAGAAATATCATTTAGATTCCAGTCCTATCCTCGCAGATGGCACTTGATTCATATAAAGGTTCTTTATGATTTTAAGGTCATTCTCATCTATCGAACGTTCCTGGAGCAATCTTACTAGTTCTAAATAATTAACACTATCGAACGCTTTCTGGTAATTTATAAAGCATAGGAAGTCACCTTTTTGCTGATCTCTGCATTTCTGAAGTAGGACAGTTAAGCTATAAAGTGTTTCTCTTGTGCCAAATCCTTGTCTGAAACCGATCTGTGTGGGGCTAATGTCTCTTTCACATCTGTTTTATATTTTTGTGTGAATTATATTTAAGAAGAGTTTTAGGACCTTTCTCAATAAGCTGATCACTCGGAAGTGGTTGTAACTATTAGCGTTTGGCTTTTTTGGGATTGGTATAAAGGTTGATTGAAGCCAATCTTGTGGTATTTGGCCGGACCCATAAATGTCATTAAAAAGATCTACCAAGGCGTCGATATTATCTTCACTTAACATTGTTAGAACCTCAATGTATATGTTGTCTGTACCTGGTGATTTTCCCCATTTGCTCTATTTGATTGCCCTTACAACTTTTGACTTATAACCACAAAATTTTTTGGGTGACGGTTTATTTTATATTCACTTTAAGAATTTCTTGTAGTGTTGCCTAAGTATAGTTGCTGTGTGTATTTTCTCCAATGTTAAACTAGATCCTTGGGATCCGTCATTAATTTATTATCCTTCACAATAGTGTTAAAACTGCAAGGTTTTGTATGACATGTCAGTTCTTTAACGAGTTTATGTATGTTAAAGTGGTCATTTTTTTTTATCCAATTCCTCCATATTTGCACACCTGTCTAGCAGCCACTGTTCTTTAGCTTTGCCACATTATTTTCGTATTTGTCGGTTAGTCTGCTGATGTTTGGTTCGGTCTTTATTTTTAAATGATCTGCGGTCGTCCATCATTGATAATATTTTGTCGGTCGTCCAATTCTTCTTTTTGTACTTTTGAGAAGTGATCAGAGACTTGGTGGTGGTTACGATAGCCTATATGTTTCTCTAAATTGGGTAAAGTGTAAATTCCTCGAGAAAATCATATCGAACAGACTAATGTGGTTTTTAGAGACTAAAAAATTGCTTGTACTGGAAAATATCGGATTCATATTAATCGGTACATATAAATTATACCATAAACGAGTTTCTATTCGTACACATAAGATCCCTAAATTTATATGCAAGATGATAAGGTCATGTTTACCACTATTTTTACGAATTTGAAGCATAGTACGAAGCACCTTTAAGAAGTTGTTGCATAGGTGTCATCAAATATAGAATAAGTTTGACTTATTTTTAAAAAGTTTATTGTTGTTACGAAGAATTTTTCTCGCATATTATCACGGAAAATATTATCACTTTTATCATTCGAGGGTAACTTATATATAAAGAATAAAACTAAATATGTTTGGATTCCTTTAAATTTATCCTGTCTATGGTAAAATAAGTATTATATTTACTTACGTGGCATTTGGATCGTATTCTGCCCAAATTCTAACGAATTCGTCCAAATGATGAGCACCCAATATGGAAGGATCACGTGTTAAATAATCAAAATTGTCCATAATGACGGCTACGAACAAGTTTAACATCTGTAACAAAATAGCAAAAATAAAAAACTTTTAGAGGCCTATAATTAAAATTAAAACCCACTAGAGTTACGCCCTTATTGCTCTCTCCTTTTCGCATATAGATGTATATCTGCAATTTCACATAACTATTATACAAGACAGAAAAAACAAAATGGTAGCCCATATTAGGACCTTCTCTACACAATAAAAAATAACTAGGTAAAACAGTTTACTTAAAGTTTTTAAGCCCACTTACCAAGAATGAACAGAAAAATATAAACGACACAAAATAGGCATAAGCTATATTGTGACCACACTGTTGTCCAGTTTTTCCCGAATTAACGTCACAATCCTTGCCTTTCACACACGATAACATTATGCTAGGCCAATTTTCACCTGTGGCACATCTGAAACATATCAAAATAATACGATTAAAAATGCCTATACAATTGTTTATTTAATTAATTACTATTTTAATGGGAATAAGCCACAATTTAAGGTTAAAATAAGTTAAAATAGGTGACGTTTCAATCTCCACTTCGGAAATCGTTTTGAAAATACAAACATTGTACGATTGTAAACAGTGTTTGTATTTTGAGAATGGTTTTCGAAGTGGAGATTGGAACGTCAATAACTTTATTTTAACCTTCAATTATTGTGGCTTATTTCCAATAAAATAGTAATTATTGTAAAATGTGATAAGAAATAGCTTCAGAACAATGTTTGTTAAATATATTTATGCAAATGTTGGCTGTTTAACAATGTTTGTTAAATTATATTGATGTCAAAATAAGATTTTGACTTTTAGGCTGTCGTAAAGTAAAGCAGTATAATATATAAATGTTACAATCAAATTTCTGTTACCTGAATAATAGCATTAGTCCTTGAATAAAATTACGAAAATTATTATGTCTATCTATAGATGTCTCCGGAGAAACTTCAATGTTACCAAAAACCTGTAAACAAAAAGAATATTAGGACTTTTGGCTTTATCCAAGACACATAATTCTTGAATGTAAATTTAAATTTCAGAAAAAATATCCCATAATTATCTTCTTGTTTGAGTGCCTTTCCTATCGGAGATTGGATATCATTATGGCGATTCTAATTTTATTTACTGCTGTTTTGAATAATTCGTTAATGGTACAGCCAAACCACTCTATTAAATTTCTCATCCAGGACATTCTTCTACGGCCTGGATTTCTGGCTTCTTGGATTTTTCCTTGTATTACATAATGTAGGAATGTGTACTTTTGTCCTCTCATCAGGTGGCCTAAGTATTCAAGTTTTCTCTTTTTTATATTTATGATAACTTCTGGATCGTTATTTATTCAATAAGTGTAGAGTTTGAGTAATTATTTTGTATTACTTTGCAATAGTAACATTTTTTTTTTTATTTCAAATTAAAGTGTCTCGGCAACTATGGGCTATTGACACTGGTACAAAGTTTATTAAAATATGTTTATGTTTGCATACATATACAATCTGTTTATATACAAGTTAGGCTACATTAACAACATCTTAATATAATTATTACACTAAGTAGTAAAGGTGACAGTCTTTTAGGAAACGAATTATGACACTGTACATGTTTGTAGAACCGAGTAGATCTCTTAAATTATTTTGAAAGTTGTAGTAGTCTCTTTGAGGTTTGTAGTGGACACATTCTAGTAATATGTGCTGGACTGTTAAGGACTCATTACAATGTTTACAGCGAGGATGGTTTTCAGAAGATATCAGATATCCATGAGATACGAAAGACGAGTGTGACCTATTCTAAGCCTTCTAATAATAATATTGTCTTTTCTGCTCATTTGAGGCATGGAGATGGGGGTAAGTAACAGTTTGTCGAATTGTGCATAGTTTTGTATTTTGCACATTTCAGTGTGTTTTCCAAGGGCTTAGTACGTTGTTCTGGATACTGGCCTTTAGGTCTTGGTGAAGTTGTATGTCTTCTATATTTTATAAGGAGCAGGCTAGTTTTGCTGCATGATCAGCGTTCTTATTTCCATTGCTACCAACATGGGATGGTATACAGATGATAGTTACTGAAACACCATTTTTTGACTGCTGTTGGCAGATACTGTGAATGCACTGTACAATTGGATACATGGAGCATATATTTCTGATTAAGTCAATTGCGGAGAGAGAGAGAGTCGGTGCATATTGTTAATGATTTCTCATTAGCAATGGGCGAGTCTAATGCCTTGAGTATTTCGTACAGTTCGGCTATGGGTATACTGCATCTAGGAGAAAGCCGATATAATGGCACAGCCGACGGCCTGTTCTTCTTTGGAGGCATCTGCTTAGAGAATTTTTTCATAGTCCTGTGTCTGTATAAGTTCCCTAAATGCTTGTACCAAAAGAGTTCTAGGCATTTCTTCTTTTGTGTATTGGTTCAAGCTAATAAGGGCAGTAGGTAGTTTTTTGGTTCACGGTGAGATTCTGGACGTGTAAACGGAATTGTGAGTTTTAGGTATGTGTCATTTAGAAAAGTTTTTAAAATTTGTGAGGGAGAATATGCTCGAGGGTAACTATTATCTGGATCAGGGTGGGAAGTATTAATTAGTTTAATTACTGGGTTTTTTGATTTAGCAGAAATTCTAGAGAAGTAGGACAGTGGTAAACGTTTACTTATAAAAAGTGGAGGTTCCGAAGATTCGATATAAAGACTATCAGAACGACTTGATTTAAAGGCGCCGAGGCTAATGCATAAAGAAGTTCTGTGAATTGTATTCGGACTTTTAAGGTGTGTTTTGGTAGCAGATATGTGGAGAATGCTTCCGTAATCCAACCTAGAGCGGATCAATATTCTGTAAATTCTTAAGAGGACTTTCTCTTTTGCCCTTCATTGATGAAGAGCTAGAGTTTTTAAGATATTGATTTTATTTAGGCAGTTTGGTTTTGTATTCTGTATCTGATCCCTTTATGTAAGTCTTTTGTCGAATATTACTCCTAATAATTTGAAAAAGTGGAGACTTTATTGTCTCCACTTGAAGAGGATATCCATTTAGGTGAAGTACAAGAGGATAAGTGTAATGTCTTCTAAAGAAATTTGTCACTTTAGATTTTCCAGACGAAAATTTTACTACAATTTTAGTGGATCAGTTGTTTGATGATTGATTCATAGTGGACAAGATGAAGATTGTTAAGAGAGTTTTGGAGTAAAGAGCATGTGCTTCTTATAACCTTGACAATAAGGAACAAGATCATCTACGTATATTGAGTATTTTATTAGATGGAGAACAAGAGAGTTTATATCGTAAATTCTAAGAAGAAATAGCATTGGGCTGAAAACTGAGCCTTGGGGACTCCTTTTCCCATTTACAACTACTTTGATTGATCTCTACTCTAGGAAATTGCTTATAGATGTGAGAATATTACCCATTTAATTGAGTTGCTCAAGTTTTCTAATATTAGCAGCTCTGTTTGTTGTGTCGAAGGCACTTTCTACGTCTACGTCTAAGGCAACTATGATGAATCCCGACTGTGCTGCATATATTAGATTGTTTTCTTCACCAAACCAAAGCAAACTTTTATTTATCATCTTTTCTAGTAGTTTGCATAATGTGCATATTAATGTGATTGCCTGTAGGCACTGGTAGCGTTAGATTAGTCATTTTTTTCCTGATCAGTACGGTAAGCGACTGTCGCCAAAGACTTGGAAAGCTTTGGCTGAACCGTATCGTACCATAGAGCGCAAGTAGCTTCAAGAGGGTTTCTACCTGTAGATGTTTGAAAAAGATAGACGAGATGTCTTTAGGACCTGCAGATGAGTTTTTCATTGATGAGACTGCCAAATTTAAGTCCACTTATGTAAAAGAAAATTTATTGGATTAGTTTGGTTATGGTTAGGTGGAGGGTGGTTCGTATGGTATGAAATGGAGGGTTCAGACTTTTGTTTTGAAAATATTTGGCTAGTGTTTTGGTTATTAAGTTATCATTTGTAATGACATTATCTCCACCTGTTATTGCGGATATTTTGCGATATGTATTTAAACCTCTCAATTGTTTAACTTTGGTCCATACTTGGGCGGGAAGAGTATCTGAAGTTATGCTGTCAGCGAATTTTTTCCAGGATTCTTTTTTGCTTTCCTTCAGAATTCGTTTGGATTTTGTATGCATTTTCTTAAAATAAATAAGATCTTCGATGCTACGAGTTTTTCGATATCCATTAAGAGCCTTTTTGTATTCTTTTATTGCGAGTTTGTAGAAGTCGTTCCACCATGGGACAACCTTTCTTGGGGAATTTATGGTTTATTTACCTATACATAGGAAGCTGTAGCTAGTGCAATTTTTTAGGCAGGGGTTGTGGTCCTTGGTGAAATTGGTTTTTAAAAGACAGATAAACTTGGGCAAAAAGTCCGATATGAGTTTTTGTAAATATTCTAGTCTGGGGTAAAAGCCAGTTACATTGAATTAGCCTTAGTATGGTGTTAGTATTAATAGGAGCTGAATTGAGAAGATTTGTATGGTTTTTAGCTGTCAAAATTGTAGTTATTTTCATTATATTCGGTGGAAAGATTGGGACTGGGCATACGTTTGGTTTCTTCTGGATAAGTGCCTAGGGCTTTTTTCAGTTTTTGATTAGACGGGTTAGACTGTTTTTGATAGACCTCTCCTGACAAGTTGGGTATAATGCTTGCATGTTAGAAATTAGCCCTAAAACATTTTCTGTAAGCTTAAGAGCTTTATCGTAGGGGTCACTACAGCCGAAAGTGTTTTCGACAAAGGGTATCAAGTTTTCTAGAGGAATACCAAGTGATTCTGAGGTTTGCTTAAAGGCTCCTTTGATAGCGTTTTTTGTTAAATCGGAAAGGTAACGTTCTAATGGTAAAATTGTTCTGGGTTTCCTTTTTTTGGTTTCTTAATGTTTCTATTTAAGAGAGGCATGATGTTCTCCTCGGATGGATTTGCGACGGAGATATTATTGGGAATATCAGTCTGCTCACTTGTACTCTTGATTTCAGAGTGACTACGTTTATGTGTGGGCGTCATTACGGAATTGTTTAGTTCTGAAGCAGACTTATGTGGTAAGGGATCTGTTACCTGGGTTGATATTAACGGTTGAAGCTGGGATGTTATATAATTGGGTGGACGATTGGGACAATTTAAGGCAATATGCCCTGTACGTTCTTTAATTTTTCTATGCATATGGATATCGTGATGTTTGCTTTGTAGTGTTTTAACTTCCATACATTTCTTTGTCAGCCATGCTTCTTTTGCTCCTTTTATCTTCTGACAAATTTGACGTGCTAAAAAGTCTTTATGAGGTAAATTGTAAATTACACAAGTGGTAGCATAGAATATTTTTTTATTTTACGGATGCTTGCGTCGTAAACGCATTCATTCTATTTTAACTTAGAAGCTAATCCAAAAGTATGTATTTAGAAGAATTCTGGCTTTCTGTTAATAGGAGCCTTATTGGAGCTCCAGACCATCTAAGAAGGGGAAGACCATCGATAAAGAAACAGTGAGTAAATTCAAAAGGCATATTCCTATGGAACTGCACCATTCAAAGTCTTCTCATATGCCCCAATAAGAACTACTTCTTTGAGATGCGCCAACTGCAGCACAACAGCAAATGTTAGCAGAATACAGTGGAAATAATCATCTTACAATGTCGAACGGTGTCTCACGACAAAAATTGTTTTGCAACGTTCCATGCAAAACAATAGGAAGAAATAAGTGATAACTGGTTTTTATTTCTCATTTAATTTTTTGGTACGCTGGTCTTACGCTGATCTTACTGCTGGTATCTTGAGAATACCACATCCTGCAGAATGCACTTAAGGATCAGCATTGTTTATTTTGATTGAATTTGTTTTAAGAATATACTAATATAAATAAATTTCACAAAATCCCTGTTTTTTTAAATTTAATAAAAATCGGGCTTCAAAGGGTTAATAAAATATTTATAGTCCGCTAATTTGTTTAAATTTACAATTTTAAAGATACAAATAAAACGGTTAAAAGGTTAGTTTTGACGGTATTATTATCGTAAGTTACTTACTTGCATTCCAATAATGGCGTAAATGAAGAAAAGCATGGCGATAAGTCCACAGACGTAAGGAAGTGCTTTGAAACTTTGAACGAAAGTCCAAAGCAGTATTCTTATCGTGTATCCCTGACGTAGTAGCTTGATCAACCGAGCAGCTCGGAACAACCTCAAGAATCCAACATTTATGAAATTTTCCTGAAAACGTACAAACTTATTTAGTACAGATACATGATAGTAGAAGCTCCACAGAGATGGGGCTACAAGTATTTTTTTTTAGATTGAGTTAGGCACTGTTGAAACACACCTTGATTTAAAAATATATTTGAGGCAAGGATAAACTATAACTGTCCTTGTAGACCGCGCTGCATGGGAAACGGAAATAAAACACATCCTAAACAACGGTTCTTTTGCTAGAGCGAAGTAAGCTAATCACATATATGGTATAAGCTATTTATGGCAAAAAGCTCGTTTAGCCTTAAAGTTTACATCATTTTTAAAGTTGTGTCATACTAATGTTCGAGCAAGACATAAAGTACTACAAAGTACTTATCACTCGCACTTTGTTATCCACGTGTATAATTATATATTTTATATTGGTTAATAGCATGTGTAGATGCAGATGCGCCCATGGATGGAAGACTTAACAAATGCGTAATATTAGCCTAAGGTAGCTTAGTTGCTGTGACGCTAGATAGGGAGAGCTGTTACCTGAGTTATGTCGAGATGACACGTTAGAATGTCCTTATTTTATTTTAACTGAAGATAAATGGTTTAGGACAACTGTTCTGATGAGACCTATTAGGTCGAAATACGTATCAACAGATACAAGGCGCTGTTTGCGTGAAATCAAATATTTGCTGTCTTTTCACTTTATAAATGGTTTAGTTCTACGAGTTCTTTTATGACGTCATTACTGTTGGTAAGATATGGAATTGTCGGCAGTGCTTTTCTACAAAACTAAATGACCATTTAGGATCGATAGTTTAGTCTTGTTGATTTGCAAATCCAAAAAATGGTTCACTAGCAATACTGATTTATGCATCAGCTCTCCCTCTCTCTAACTCCAACACTCGTGCCTTGATGAATTGGTCAGTACCGGCTTGGCAGCCTTCAAAGATAGAGCTTCTAATCGCTGTTACTGCCAGATACAAAATTCGTGCTCTGATATGTTTTTTAAAAGTAAAACGGATTTCACTTATTCACATTCATCGTCAGTTATTTTAAGTTTATGGGAAAAGTGCATATCTGTGCAAGATGTTCGTAAATGGTGTAGATAATTCAGTAAAGACCGAAGAGAAATTCACAATGAAGATCGGAGCTGAAAGCTTTTAGTTTCAGACGAAATTGTCAAAAAATTTAAAAGAATATTGCTTGAAGATCGGAGGTTCACAATTATTGAGCTTGCTTTGCAAATTTCTGGGGAATTTTTAGATTCAATTGTCACAGGCGGCAAAACATGGCTGTTTCACTTTACCCACGAAACCAAGCAGCAAGGTAGGTATTATGTTCAGTCAACTTTTCATGCACTTCGCCCATTTGATGGTCGCCATAATTAACCCACATAGAGGACTATTCGCACTGTGGTAAATAAGTTTAAAACCGCTCTTTCAGTATAAAATCAACAATCACCACTTCGTCGGCAAAACGAAATGTCTATGAAAAATATCGCCGCTGTCCATGATCCTATCCTATTCTATGCACGAGAATTCGAGGCAGTCTATTTTACGTCGTGCGTCGGTTACAAGAACTCGACTTTTCACAAACCACAACTATTGTGGATTTTACATTGTAACCTGGCCCTGCACCATACAAAATTTAACTCACTTAGGATTTCTAGGCAAACGACTATAAACAATGGAGCGTGCTTGACAAATGGACTCTGGAGCCGTTGGAAACTGACCCTAAATTTCATCGAAAAGTCATATTCAGAAATAAAATACATTTTTAGATGAATGAATACTATAACAAAAAAATCTGTCCAATTTGGGACGATACAATCCAGATTCTAAAGCTTCTTTCTTTTCTTGTTTTTATGTAAACATGACTATCTCTTTTTCAATGCGCCTCCAGTAAGTTGTCGTTCCATCGTTTTCTTCGTATTCCATGGTCGTCTTCCTATTGTGGAACCGTCTCTTGTCGTCTTTACTACTCTCTTTGTTATCATTCAGTCTATATGATCGTTACATTCTACTCTTTTATTTCTTACCCAGTTCTTTATGTTCGTCACTTTGCATGTACTTCGTATATCAGTAGTTCTAGCTCTGTTCCACAGTGTCTTACCATTAATTGTTTTACCATCAAGGGTTTTCATCCCTGCTGTTTCTAACATCCTTTTGTCCGCTCTGTGCCAGGTCGTGTTTCTGCCGCTTATGTCATTATTGACCTGTGACTGTTTTTTAAATTCTTCCTTTCATTTAATGTGCTAAATTTTTCTGGCAATTATGTTGTTTCTTTCATCCATAATCAGGTTAAACAATAAAGGACTTAGGGAATCTCCCATCTTATCCCATTGCCAGCTCCAAAAGGATCAGTTAGTTTTTCTACTTTTACTTTAATTGTGTTGGTTTATTAGATATTTTTGATTGTTTTAATCATTCCTAGAGGTATCTTGAGTACAATAAGTGGATAACGTCCTTTAATTTGACCCGGTCAAATGCCTCCTTAAGGTTTACAAAACATAGATATGCGATTTTTTTGTATTGTAATGATTTCTCTTGCACTTGAATCATTAATAATTATTACTAAATGTTATCACTGTTAAAATTAATTTTTAGTGTGGATTTTGGACTGGAGTCTTCATTGGTTTGTCCGGCCATTACCTTCAACGGCAAGTGCTATAGGTAGATGATTGTAACATCTTTAGCCTGCGTTGAATGATATAGACACAAACGACATTTAGATTTAGCACGTTAGTTGCAGCACAGCCACAGTGGACATTTGAAAGATATATTCCCTACGTAATAGCAATGGGTGACCTTTCAACTGAATAAAAGATATCAATATCATACGCACATACTTTCCTTTATTTAAATTAGATATGCAGCGTTTAAAAAGAGATTCCATTGTATGTTTTGCTAGTTTTAACCAAGTTGTGTTTCAACAGATTTCTTTTCTTTTATTCTATATACTTTTAAGCATATAGATCCTTTTATTTGCAACTAATATATGTATATTTTGTACTATGATTATATGATTCTATCTAATTGTTTTCTAATTGGTTTAGCGGCTATCTAGTTTATATCAACGAATTCTACCTTAAATTATAAAAATTATAAGGATTGGTACTTAAATACTTAAACAATGTAACTGAGTGGAACAGGACACAACATTAAATTCGTTTAAACAAATCATAATATAATAAAAATAATTATATAAATTATATGAACTCTTGTCTAATGAGAAAATAAATAAAAGACGCGATTCTGCTTTCTGCTCTTCTGTGTTTTAAAATATTATACATACTTCAACAAATAAATCAGAATACCCAACAAACACAAATATCTGGCTTAATTATAAGCACCAATAAAATAACCTTAACAAAGCTTTTAAATTATTTTTATTTCTGTAAATACAAAACAGTTTAAATACTCTTTATATATAGATCTTATGTTTTCAGGTATTAACTAGGAAACAAATAAATAATTTCGTGATTTTAAGACAAAACTAGTAGAAACATAGGTGAAAATAAACCTCCAAAAATGTGTAGAGCAGTCTAAATAAATATGAGCGAGACTAAATACAAGACAAAGAAACTATATTTACTCTCTCAGATTTCTTTTATTCTTTGGTATGAATTGTGGCCAAGTCTCCCTTGGCGACCTTTTTTCTTTCTTTCCATTGGATTCAAAATTATTATTTGTAAAACCAATAAACAATTTCATGATTTTAACACAAAACTAGTAGAAAGAGTGTTGAAAACAAACCTCTAAAAATATGTAGACCAGTACAAACAACTAATAAGCGAGACTAAATACAAGACGGAGAAACTATAGCACTCTCTCAGATCTCTTTCATTCTTCGGTATGCATTGTTACCAAGTCTCTCTCGGCGTCGTTTTCTTTCTTTTCTGTGGCTTCGAATTTATTATTTGTTTTGGTATTCTATGTTCATCGATTTATTTATATTCACATACTATATTAGTGGTTTATGCCGTATATTTTCCATAAAAATATTTTATCTTTGGATCATATCATGGGAATGTCCTGTTATTATTGAAGTTTTAGTCAATTGTCATCGATCATTTGCATTATTTGTAGGTCTTTAGGATTACAAGTTCGGGTCAATTTTGGCATTAGTGGTAGTATCTGGCAACTGTTAAAGCTAATTTTATTTAGAAGGTGTATCTGCCCATGACTGGAACTGCAAAATCATTTCGTTTTTACTTTCATACACGCTGTAATCAAGAAACGCCTGCATTTTTCGTAAAATTCCTGGTTCAATTCATCGTTTAATTCATTAATATTGGGCGTCACCCGTAGATTCTACACTTTAAAGTATTACGATTTAAGCCAAATTGCTTTTATAAAATGATGATATTATGCAAGATACAAGGTGTTAAAGTGGAAATTTAAAATTTTAATTTTCGCTTTAACTTCCATGTTTGTAAAGATTTGTTTTAAAATGCCTTTAATAAAGTTAATAGTTAACGAAGTATTAAATAAAATAAATATATCTGCATAATAATTTGCAATAGATATGACAAAATAACAGAATGATTGGATTTTACATCAAACATTTTACGTTTTGTAATAAATTAAAATCATAATTAAAATATTTTATTTATAAACCAAATTAAGAAATAGTTAAACTAAATAACATTAAACTTTTTGTCAAAGTAAGTGTTCGATATGTCCACCATTTTTTTAATTCATTTGTCAATACATTCCATAAAAGATCGTCTCATTTTAAACAGCATCATTTGTTCTAAAGAAACTCCTGCAGTATTTATTATAAGTATTATAAGTATATAAAGTATTCTTTTGGGATTTTTTATGAATTAAATAATTATATTAATATCTCACCACATGACCAAGGAATATGACTACCAGGAAGGATCTAACGTTTAGAAAAGTTGTATTTAAGTATGTTCTCACTGCCCTCTCTGTATATTGTGGTTGTGTACCATCTTGCATGAACCATATATTTCGCCTTAAGTTTGATGACAATTCTTCCAATAAATCCATAAAATCATTTTA